CTCTATAACATGTACATGCACATTCTGCCTCTATAACACGTACATGCACATTCCGGCTCTATAACATGTACATGCACATTCTGGCTCTATAACATGTACATGCACCTTCTGCCTCTATAACATGTCCATGCACCTTCTGCCTCTATAACATGTACATGCACCTTCTGCCTCTATAACAGGTACATGCACATTCTGCCTCTATAACATGTACATGCACATTCTGCCTCTATAACATGTACATGCACATTCTGCCTCTATAACATGTACATGCACATTCTGCCTCTATAACACGTACATGCACATTCTGCCTCTATAACAGGTACATGCACATTCTGCCTCTATAACACGTACATGCACGTTCTGGCTCTATAGCACGTGCATGTACATTCCGGCTCTATAACACGTACATGTGCACACCGGCTCTATAACACGTACATGTACATACCGGCTCTATAACATGTACATGCACATTCTGCCTCTATAACAGGTCCATGCACATTCTGCCTCTATTACAAGTAAATGCACATTCTGGCTCTATAACACGTACATGCACATTCTGCCTCTATAACACGAAATGCACATTCTGCCTCTATTACAAGTAAATGCACATTCTGCCTCTATAAAATGTACATGCACATTCAGGCTCTATAACATGTACATGCACATTCTGCCTCTATAACATGTTTATGCACATTCTGGCTCTATAACATGTTTATGCACATTCTGCCTCTATAACACGTGCATGCACATTCTGCCTCTATAACACGTACATGCACATTTTGCCTCTATAACATGAGAATGCACATTCTGCCTCTATAACACGTACATGCACATTCTGCCTCTATAACAAGTAAATGCACATTCTGGCTCTATAACACGTACATGCACATTCTGCCTCTATAACACGTACATGCACATTCTGCCTCTATAACATGTACATGCACATTCTGCCTCTATAACACGTACATGCACGTTCTGGCTCTATAACACGTGCATGCACCTTCTGCCTCTTTAACATGTACATGCACATTCTGGCTCTATAACAGGTGCATGCACATTCTGGCTCTATAACATGTACATGCACATTCTGCCTCTATAACACGTACATGCACACTCAGGCTCTATAACATCTGCATGCACATTCTGCCTCTATAACACGTACATGCACATTCTGCCTCTATAACATGTACATGAACATTCTGCCTCTATAACACGTACATGCACACTCAGGCTCTATAACATCTGCATACACATTCTGCCTCTATAACACGTACATGCACATTCTGCCTCTATAACACGTACATGCACATTCTGCCTCTATAACACGTACATGAACATTCTGCCTCTATAACACGTGCATGCACATTCAGGCTCTATAAAATATGCATGCACATTCAGACTCTATAACACGTACATGCACATTCAGGCTCTATAACATCTGCATGCACATTCAGGCTTTATAAGATCTGAATGCACATTTAGGCTGTTTAACAACTGCATGCACATTCAGGTTGTATAACACCTACATGCACATTCAGGCTCGATAGCACGTACACGCACATTTAGGCTGTATAACAACTGCATGCACATTCAGGCTGTATAACACCTACATGCACATTCAGGCTCGATAGCACGTACACGCACATTTAGGCTGTATAACTACTGCATGCACATTCAGGCTGTATAACATCTGCATGCACATTCAGGCTCCATAACAACTACATGTAGATTCCGCAACTTTGCAGGGTGTTTTCGAAATTGCATCTACAATCAACTCCACATTTGTTGAATGGCAATCGTAGTTAGATGTCAGATTTCAGTGTCGACATTCGCCATTACTATGACACGGTGCCACAACTGGCGCCGCCGTCGATGACCTTCCCTCCTCAGAGTATCCGACATATTTCTGACACGTCTGTCAACCGCTATCATCTTTCCCGAGACCTTCAACAGATAGGTCACGCTGTTTTCTCCCCATCTTGATTAACAACAAACATTGCGTGTGTTTATAATCGCCACATTCCTTGTGAACTCCGTGACCTCTGACAATACATATCCCATGATTCTCTTCTTGTCCATCTGCGTCAAACATGTCAAGCACTAGTACATGCTTGTAACCTCAGCGACCCCTAACGGCAAAGCATGGATGCAACAGCACCGAGTACAATTTATTTACGCCATGGCTAATAATTTTCAGTGTATACTTTCAGTGCGATTAAACGATATCCTTTTCAAGTTCGTTGTGAGCTGATACTCAAAATAACGTAACCGAATATTAATTTAATAACCTGTTAAGATCGTAGGCAGTGTGTGGCACATATCTGTGCTGCACGTGCATTAAGTTTAATGAGAGGAACAGGACGCAGGGTCCTTTCCTTTTGAAGTACATATAGTATATGTGCGCATGTGCAACAGGATGGGGATAGTTGTGGCATGCAGCTGTGTGCACCGGTGTGCATCAACGTCTGGTGATCAGGTCACGTGGTCAGGTCACGTGGTGCCAGGGACGTGACAGATGTACATAGAGTGTCAGGTTCTCATATGATGGAGGGAGTCAAGTCACAACATCTGGATGCCATGTTGGGCAGTAATGCCGTGTCGTGTATGATAAAACAATATCTCCCAGCAAGCTATGTCCCATCAACCTGCGGCAGCTGTGGCAGTGTGTTCACTAAAAACAAGTACGATGAATCAAACAGCTGTCCAAATATCTTTTAGAAAATTGATCACAATTTATTTAAGTGGCTATATGCCTTTGTCACAGGGCGCATAACATTCTCACTACTCCAAATTCAAACCGTCTCCACATATCGATAGAGTGAGTTTGGTTTAACGCCAAATCAGTTATATGACGGCCTGTCAGATTGACTTTGGGGAAGGCCCGAAGTGATACAGGTCTTAGTGAAACCCCCGTGCAGTTACACCTTGCAGTGCAGTTACACCTTGAAGCATAATCAGGGAGGATCTTGAATTCAAATGTTTATTCAGCAAGGTTACGTAGGCCATCGGCCCATGTCACAGCAGTTGTACAGCAGCCATTGTTATAATTAAAATTTACATCAGCAGATTTGTCCTTAATTGCATAGACTTATAAATATACATAGCCAACTTCTTATGATATTACATTTATCATTTGACATCAAGAAATTTATGTAATGTGGGAAATACATAGTAGTTTATTGGAATGTACTGTTCACGCAATTCGGCATGCACCGTGCATACAAACAAGAAATGATACCCATCCTCAACGAAACCTTTTTTACAAACATTGCAAGCTTTCATTTCTTGGAACATTTGCATATCTTCCAGTCTCAATTTTTAGTTGGTGAGAACTACATTTAAACTTTGCTAAAGCTACACGAAACTTGTGGATATACATATACCAATTATAATACTCTTGACACACTGTAGGTTTATACATAGAGTAATTGAATGTTTTTGCACCATGTGACAAGGATGCATGCCAATCTTGCTGATAAATACATTTTGCTCTTATCATAAATTCTGATAAAATATTGAATACTACCAATGCTTTGATTATCCCAAACATAGCCAAATCCCATTTTTAATAAAACATTACTTAACTATGAAGCCCAATTGCTTTTCAAATTTTGAATTCGAACGGTACGCCTAAGGGGCTTAACTCTGAATAAGGAATTACGGCGCCCCAAACGTTCAGCCTGTGCCCCCTAATATCAATATGAGGACTAGGACTTCATTTTCACATCAGAATTAATACTTGTATCAATATTTGATTCATACAATCAGAAGCGGAATATTTAGATTATATTCATTTAAGAATCTCTGTTTGATTTTATCATTATTATAAGTATTAATACATTTATACGTGTTTTGTTGTCTAGGAGCAGAATATTTTATATATATTCCAGAAAAGATTGAAGCATACAGTGCCAGGCATTCCCTGTATATGTAATAATTAGCAGTGGGTCAATTTATGATTCATGCATTTAGAAGCAGATTATTTTGAATAGAGTTAATAAACAATCCAAAAAAGATTTAATTACCTCATTAATCAATAGATGAACACTACATTATACACTTATACACATATAAGGAATATACCATAGGAAATATGTGTGATAAATATTTAGAATGTTTTCGACTTGAATGGATATTATTAATATCCTCGTTTTAAATCGTCTTTCGCATTAACATGACGTAGAAACGTGACTTCAGCGTGAATGCTTGGAGGGGATTCTGTTCAGAGAAATGTTTCCAAGACATTCAATGGCCAACACCTGATAGATTGCAGCGTTTTTGTCCCAACAACAGACTGTCCAGTGTTCTACTGTTGCTGTATCAGGCAGCCGTGACTCCGACACAAGGCACGATTCACATACTCAGAATCAACCCCTCCCTTCTCTACTTTAATTCAATTCAGATGTTTAACCACGGGTGAAAAAACATGCAATATTCAAACCACGAGAACACTCTATTCGAAAAAAATATATGTTCATATATATATACACAGACCTTAAACAAAACAATCACGCCGGAAACAGCGTAGAAATATTGCTGATGATGCGGAGTTTTTCATTTCTCGTTTGGTTCAACTTAGTAATTTTTCATTCGTTATCCTGGTAAATGAATTAAATTATTTAACTTCACTCCTGTGGAAATACACTCAAATGAAAATTAAAATTCTTTTTCACAAAAAATACACACAATGTATCCAAAGAAGACATGAGTGAAGTCTTGTGTAGCGAAATCTAGTCTTTATCAGTAGCTTAGGTGATGATACCTCGTGACAAGACTAAACAAATAGTCTCCGCGTGTGTCTGTTTCGCATATTGTTTTTGCAGTCCAACAACATGTTTTTTACAAAGCGGTAAGTCTTTGTCGGTATCGAGCCCCGGGCGTTACGTCCTGGTACAACACTGGATAAATTCCGGTTAAACTCTGGCTCGCAATGAACGTCCACTGTCTTAATGAGTGCGTTATTTCAAACGACATTGGTGACACAAGGTCTACTGTTTCAGCATCAAGCGAGAAGGAAGTACCGTCATGGCGGCAGATCGATGAAGCGACCTTGACCTGTGGGAAGAGAATAAGGGAACAGTTCCGGATCCGGAACTTCTTCTTAGGCCATGACAGTCCTGGAATGTTTGGGAGGGCCCAGGTGAGACCGTCAAGACCTTTCAAAATGATAGGTACCGAGTGAGCGAGGGAGTGAGTGAGGATGTGAGTGGGTGGATGGGTATGTGGGATTTGAGTGAGTGAGTGAGTGAGTGAGTGAACGGAAAACTACATTTTGAAAATTTCACAGAGGGTTTCGTAGGAAAACGCTTTGGTTAACCACGGACCATAAGACACTATTTAAGTCCGTGATTAAACACGCGAACACGGGTAACATGGTGGTGACAAACCGAGAATCATAAACAGTGCTAATCTGGAATTCCAACCCACGGATTCTGGCACGCATAAGGGACGCAACTCTGCATAGCAAATTGCGGTGCCTGAGGGAACTGGGTCACCTGTTTCCCGATGACTGATAGAGACTACATTGTTGTATGTTTCTCACACTTTAAAATAACAAAAGAATGTAGCTAAAGAATTAGCAGGACGTTGCGCGTGAGTGAGTGGACCCTTCGAAGCAACGATCCTCGGCAAGCAATCAGCCTGAATGCCGTGATGTAACTGGAAAACTGTTCAAAGCGGCGTTAAGCCCAACTCACTCACAGAGCCTGAACTTCTCTTCCTGATGTATTCACATGTGACCACCAGCATGCTGTATTGGGGATCTATTCTGGCCCGGTTTTCCTATATTGTTGCTTCCCACCCCTTAACACCGAACTAATCAAATTTAAAGACATTTATTATTTGAAAACATGAATTTGTTTCCTAAAAACTTAAATAAAATATTTTTTCCTCAGAGAAAAAATATCCTGTCTCTAGTTCCCCCCCCCCCCCCCCCCCTTCTCCACCCTAAGAATATTACAAGGTGGACCCTAAGAAGTGTTTATGCATATAATTACTCATGTAAACAAAAAGTAACACACTACTTGATTTCAGTGTCCCTTTACGGTTTTTATTGGAAATGTTCACTCTAAAGTGTAACCATGTCAAGTCTCCACTGACCCGATACCTTATGGCGGCACCGTGCCGTGCTCGTAAGTGGCAAACGTCTGAGACCTGCCACCTAGCCCACATGCCGTCATATAACTGAAATACTGTTTAAAGCGACGTTAATCCCTACTCACTCGCTTACTCCCGTGTACAGCTGTGGACTTCTAGTATTCAACTTTTAAAACACCGGGAACACACGATACACTCGCACAACGCTATACTCTTGTCATTCGGAGGAACTCGGGAAAGTGGCTACCACGATATGTTGTTGTAATACTATATGAATTACGTACGACGTAAGAAGGTTCCATCATGTTTCTCTGATTGTTTCCAGTGTGGTCCATCCGTCATCTACCTGATCTGGCGACTGATCTGGGCTGTATATCACGTCACCGCCATCTCAACATCAGGTTTCCTCACGCAATTTTACGCCACTCGAGAAGAAAACAGGATTAAATGGTTTATTTTTCTGACAAATTGGTGTTATTTGATCCTCACGTGCTCCGCCATCTTGGATCTGATTGTCTCTCTACATTTCTACGTCAACAAACAGAGCTTCCTCAAAGGTGAGTCAAGGTGATACCAAGGGAATAGTATTTGGTTTGGGGCTGACTACATAGTGTTGTGATGGTATTCACTTCATCAACGGCACCACTGCTTACAAGGCCACTTTCGTGAGGTTTGCCATTGAAACATGCTGTTCTTACTACTAATACTACTACTGCTGCTAACACTTAAACCACTACTACTACTGCTACTACTGTTTCTGCTGTTGCTACTACCACTGCTACTACTATTGTTGCTACTACTACTACTACTACTACCTTCACAGCTACAAACACTACTACTGCTCACCTACTGCTGCTATACTTCTACTACTACTTCTACTGTTGTTACTGCTGCTACTGCTGCTACTGCTACTACTACTACTACTACTTCTGCTCCTACTGCCACTACTACACGGGGTGATGAGGTAGCCAAGTGGTTAAAGCGTTCGCTCGTCCCGACAATTGCCCGGGTTCGATTCCCCCATGGGTAAATTGTTTGAAGCCATTTCTGGTGTCCCCCGCTGCGATATTGATGGAATATTGCTAAAAGCGGCGTAAAACCATACTCACTACTACTACTACTACTACTACTACTACTACTACTACTACTATTAATAATAATAATAATAATAATAATACTGACACTACTGTAACTACTACGACTATTACTTCTTCTACCATTGACCCGGGTAGAGAATAAGTCTTCATCAACCCATGCTTGCAATAAAAGGCGACTATACTTCTCGTAAGAGGCGACTAACGGGATCGGGTGGTCAGGCTCGCTGACTTGGTTGATGCATGTCATCGTATCCAAATTGCGTGGATGTCAAATACTGGATCGTCTGGACCAGACTTGATTATTTACAGACCGCCGTCACATAGCTGGAATATTGTTGGGTGAGGCATTAAACAACAAACAAACAAACTACCACCACCACCGCTGTTCTACTGAACATAATACGTCCTATGAACACCATGTATACCATTTCAACATTACAATGATGATTGGGTGGCCACAATGGAGTGGCCCAAAGTGATGCATTGATAAGGTACTGATAAACCAAGGATAATATACGGGCCGAATCTGGGATTTCGAACTCAGCGGATAGTGTTAATCAACACCATTGACTTGTTCCAGGGGCGGAAGCACCGATGCCATGGTACTGCAAGGCATTATGGGTACAGGCCAACATCAGCAACGCTATCGGGATCGAGATAAGCCTGGTGTACTGGCTCCTACTCCACGACTGTAAGTTTATTTACATAGGTCGCTGTACTTCCCATGTAAACAATGAAAATATGGAGATTAAACTTGTAATAGATCATTTGATCACATCACAATCCGCCGCTACCCAAATTCCAAGACTACCCTCTACTGTAAGAACTTGGGTAGTGCAGTCGCATATGATTGCACTTTTTAATAGATTTTTTATTTTGTGTTTCTATGGTGACCCTTTTATACAATAATTATTTAAGTAAATATCTTTGCATCTCGTAGATGAAACGTGACCACGTACAGTAGTCGGGTGTAAACCGGTCCTAGTAGTGCATAGCAAAGGGGCGGAATGTGTATGACGATTAACGGGAACAGAGATGTCCCTTCGTCTTCAGGCCATACCGTACATCACTACGGCAAGTGTCTGGTCAAGTGTGTGGTCAAGTGTTTGCTGGTCAAGTGTTTGCGGGTCACGCCTAAGAAGTTTCCACCATGCCTTTTTTGATTAATTTGGTAGTCACTATATGGCTGGAGTAATGCTGACGCGACGTTAAATTTTAACTGACACACTTAATTTCTTTAAAAAAACTCAATTTTGTTTGCAGTCAACAACAACTTCCACGGCTACCGCATCCTCCCCTTTCTCACCCACGGCATGAACGTCATCTACATTCTCCTCAACCTCATGGTGACGGCCATGCCGGTGCGACTACTTCATTTCTACCAGCCTGCCGTCTTCGGCATCGTGTACGTCATCTTCAGTGTTGTCTACACTGTCTGCGGCGGCAGCAACGACCTGGACGAGCCCTATATCTACTCCATCCTCGACTGGAACAACTCGGGGACGTTTGCAGCAATACTCACAAGCGGAGCTGTTGTGGGGGCCATGTTTGTCCATGTTGTTATTTACTTCATTCATCTTCTGAGAGTTTTTATGTTTAGATGTTCGAGATCAGATGAAGTGATGGTTTGAAACAAGTGTACGTTTATTGCTGTTTGTATTTATTTGTTTTGTAAATAGCTTCAAGTTGTTAAGTGGTCACTAGTGATGTTGTTTGTATTGATGACGATAAGGTCAACACTTCTAACGTATACGTATTGTTAGGCCGGGGTCACATGAAAACTCCGACTGGGGTATCAAATATTTGTCGAAGACATCCTTCGGTAAGTTTAATCAGGGCGCTGAGTGGATTTCGTCACACACAAATTTAAAATCAAATGAGTTTTTCAGTTGATAAATGTCAGCTTGACTTAGGTCTCAAAATGATTGAGACCAATGATATATATCCTCAAAGTAGCTTTTGTAAGTGTAATTGTATATGCTTTTATTTTTTTAGTGAATAGTATATTAATTACCATACGCTAGACAAATAACTTTTTTAATTGTTTTATCTTTAAAAATAAAAAAAGAGACCCATACCTGTGATATATGTGTTCAAGATGCGGCTTCTCTTATCCTACGCTTATGACAAGATCTACGAGAATGTTATTTCAAAGCCGTCGCTGAATGCCTAGGTCGCTGTCTTCAATAAGCCGATACTTCTGTAGAAAAAACCCTTTATAACCACGTGATCCAAATGTAAAGGTCATTGCTAATATCTACACGATTGATGTGTTTACAATGGTAACGTCTTCTTCTACTTCCATCAAAGTCAAATTGAATCAGAAATTCTCACTTATTTGATTACTTCTGAATTTCTTTGATGTGATATCGATTACAGCGTTTAACATCACTCCGAATAACACGATATAAATCAAAGCGATCCGCGTTACCCAAAGAAGAGGCACCTGTTTCATGTTCTGTTGGTTATTATGGCAAATAATGAAGTTAGTGTCTAGCTTGCAGCTTTTACAGATTCTATTTCGTTCAGTTACTTGTAAATCATGGCAGTATTAGTGTTGTAAATCAAACGAAAGGATTGTAAAGGTTCTTGTTTCTGAGAAATTTACAAGATCCATTTCTACTAGATCACGTTCCGTCACTATAACGCTGACTCTATTTCACTGGCGATTTATTCAAGGAAACGTTACGTCCGTATTCATGTTTTAATCATTGGTATAAATAGGCAACAAATCGTTTTGTTGCTTCTTGTCACCGCCTGACCACGTTTTTTCATTCCGTTTCCATTTGTTAAATAATCTCACAAGTACGTTGATTCCTATTGTATTTTTTAATTTCTCTCAGAAGCAACACCTAAATCAGTCCGAATGTCAACTTTCGCGATGTCGTGTTTTTTTCCAGAATTGCAGAAAACAATAGAAACTAGAACAGTCGACTAATCTGCTGTCACTTTAAAAGGTGATTAGAAACAGACAAACAAGATAATGAAAATTAGGCCTTGTGTTCCAAATCATAATTCAGTGCTAGTACAATCTATGGTGGCAGTTACCAGGGCAACTATTATACAACATTCCTTCAATATAATTCCTCCTTGTGTGTTGGGTAAAGTCAGTTTATTGAAGGGTTCGGTGCACCAACACGAAGTGTGCCGATGTCTGGGATTAGCAATACCACCACCAACGGCAATGTATTGAAAGACTTATCATATTCATAATCTGGCCCGAAAAATGGAAACTTTTGCGTGAGGAATGAGTTATGTTCAACATACCAACACACCAGTACTTCCTTTACGACCGCCTCCGTGATGTAGTGGTAGAGCGTCCGCCCGGAGAACGGAAGGTTAAAAGACGTTAAAAGATGGTACTTGTTGTAACCGGGGTATTCGTGTTAAACTACTGCATGGTATCTCAGTGGAACTATAAACTCGGCATTATTCAGCAGTAGTACAAACAGACAGACAGACAGACACACACACACACACACACACACACACACACACACACACACACACACACACACACACACGTACGTCGATATATATGTGCAATAATCTTGAACGCGACGTAAAACCCCATTTCACATCCACTCTCTATACTTCGTTTTCGGATCACGAAATTTCACAACTTGAATTATTTCTTCCAGCCAAGTAATTTCAGTTCATAAATACAACTTCACCGTATATCAGTCGGGGAAGGGAGGTAACTCAGTGACTTGTCATAATATTATTTTTCATATTCTGTCATTTTTTTCTATGTTCAACAAAACCAAAAATAAATTTTACTAATCCATACAATATATTATATTATATTTATTTCGACCACCCACACTATATAGTGTGGAGTAAATAACTCTGTAAACTACGCAAAAGCGAAGGAAGGCACACAGACGCACGGGGTATATTTGCGGGACCAATTTTCCACGACATTATATAGACCTGAAGGATGTATATATATTTATGTATTACAGTGTAAATATTGATTTCATCTGATGTATCGTGTATTTAACCGTCCGGTGTTTTGTAGAAAGAGCCTTTCATGACTCATTATTTGTGGAGAATATTATAGTCTTAAAAATCTACTTCTTAGGAGATACAACATATACATCCTCCATCATCCACTGGGTTGTAGCTCCATTTTATAATCATACCCTTGATCCATTCGTTGCCCTTATCGTTTATTAGTCCGATTCGAATGACACGATGGTAAAAATAGCTATTCAGTCAAATATGCGAGAGATTCTGTGGGAGTTACATGTATAACTCATTAAGAAAGTTGAAGATGCTGACGTCACTTCCGAAATGAAGCTACCGAAGCGATGATGTCATGTGTATTTGTCCTTATATGGAACGAAGGCAGAAGTCTCTGCATATAATCGAGGATGCGAAAAAAGGGGACACGCATTATTTGGGCATATACATAGAATATTGATCTTTAGCTCAATGCTGCCCCAGACTCTCAGTGTGTTGTGGGCGGTGAGGTAGCCTAGTGGTTAAAGCGTTCGCTCGTCGCGTCGAAGCCACGGGTTCGATTCCCCACATGGGTACAATTGGTGAAGCCCATTTCTGGTGTCACCCGCCGTGATAATGCTGGAATATTGAGGAAGGCGGCGTAAACCTATACTCAATCAGTGTGTTATAGTCTAAACATTGGCTCTCCTGTGTGTTGGAGCGATCTCCTAGTCAGGTATATATGGGAAAATATTATGCACTAATATCAATAAAGTATACATACTTTTCTATTTCTGTTTAAAATCAGAAACAAAAACCGTTGTGTTGAATATGTTGTTTGATGTAGAACAGTTTTTGTAAAACATCAGAGGGACAAACAGCGGGTTGATAGAATGAACGTCTGGATTTCTTCAGTTCAGAAAATAAAGAGATTCTTTGGGCTCCTTTCTATTGTGAAACACTTTGAAAACGGATATTCGATTTTTTTTCAAATTTGACAAAAATGGCCACAACATTCACATGAAGTTGTTCTGTGTATTTAGACATGAGGTCAAACACAACAATGTCATTTTGTCACACAGTCATCAGTCTTGTAATGCGAGTAAACGTTTACTCCTACAATCGTTTTCTTCTACTTCGAGTTAAAGTTGATGATGCGTTTTCATTCTGTGTCAGTATATCATATATTTAAGGAAATCTTAAAATATTTAAATTTCAGAGACATGTTAATCTATACCCCCAGATCCAAAATTCAGCTTTTACGATACTGGGGTGCCATTGTTTCCCCGTGCATGTAGAATGAATGACTGTACATAGTATGTCTTCATCTTCATTTATCTGTTATGACGATTTTTGTTAATCAAAATGATTGAAATAAAACACTTTATACATATTTGAAATAGACACTGTGTTTTCTTCCCGATAATCTTCAAATCCACCCAGTACACTGACGACAACGGCCGTGATTGCCAATATTGTGGATGCATTTAACTTAACATCTTTGTCTATATTTTTTCTTATCACTACAGGTTACCGACGCCTTCGCCAACTGAAAGAAGAACCCTTAAAATCTGACGCCCGCGCCCACACTTGTGGCTTGATTGCGCTCAGCAAAACTACGATATGAGTGAGTGAGTTGGGTTTAACGCCGCTTTTAACAGTATTCCAGTCATATCACGGCGTGTCAGCTTAATGTGGGAGGAAAGCCCGAAGTGATGCAGGTCTCAGACGTTTACCACTTCGTTGAAACCCACGAGCACGGGTATGGTGCTGACAAACCTAGAAACATAATCGGGGCGAACCGGGATTCGAACCCACAATCATAGGTTTATGGCGTGCCCAAGGGAGGCAACTCTACACAGCGAATCGCGGCGCCTTAGACGACTGGGCCACCCGTGCCCTCACTACGATATGAACTGCCGGGTGAAGGAAGTAAACACTTGAACATTGGATTTGACCAACACATTACAATCGTTATCACAGCGTTACTAGGTTGTAAACAGTCACCGAAACACAAACTTAGGTCCAAAACGAATCTAGATAGGATACCCGTATCAAATACATCACCATCGAATAGCCATTTCTTGTTTGTTACATTTAACCACATCAAACATGGGTGTAGACTATCTTTTGACCGGCAGTATAGTATTGATAAATGGAAGTCATAGGCTGAACATGATTAGGGAGTCAATGCTACACATATTCAGCCATAGGAGGGATGTTGTGTTTTCTTGAAGGGAAAAAAGAGGACGAAGGAAGCAAACAAGGTGACGTGATAACTGAAGAATGCGGGGACAGGTCACGTCCTTGTATGCACCATTGCATCTATTCATGTGAGAGCTTTTTAAAAAAACTATTGTTGCGTGAAATGGTACTCTTGTATTTTAAGACAACTACACCCAACCTCGGAAGGTGACGAAGCACATATTCTGACATAAACAGGAATAGGGGGGAATATAAACCACATCATTAGGCCAGTGAAGAGAAAATTCTTGTTTCGCTTGAAATTTTCGTTTGGTTGTTGTTTATACCGCACTCGGCAAATTTCAATCTTTGTGAAGGCAGTCTGCAAAAACACACGGGTGTGCATCTTCTGATACAATGAAATGCACTCAACCAGGTCACTGAGCCGCCCACTCAATCCATTTAATCGCCTCTAACGACAGGCACAGGTTGCTGGTGATCTATATTCCTACCCGGAATCACCACGTACTAACCTGACTGGGTGGGTAGAGAGGGTTATTACATTTTATTAGCTTAGAAGGTTACAAATCTACAAAGTAAAATTGATCCTAATTTGCCGCGTGACCTCCCTGGCCATGCAACAATGCCGTTTAGGGTGCAAAATGTCGGAATCAGGTGCGAAAACGAAATATGAATTGAAACAGCAAAACAGGGTTTGAAACAATTACACACAACGGGATTAGGGCGGAAAGGGGAAGACGAACTAAATTCATTTAAACAAGCCTAAATAGCTATTATCCCAGGAAGCATAATAGCAATACAAGATTACCGGGTAACGGTAGCTGTCTCACTGTGCGCCGGGGTACACGGCGAAGCCGTGAAATGTATTCGAAGTGAGTGAGTGTGGTTTTACGCCGCTTTTAGCAATATTCCAGCAATATCACGGCGGGGGACACCAGAAATGGGCTTCACACATTGTACCCATGTCGGAAATCGAACCCGGGTCTTCGGCGTGACGAGCGAACGCTTTAACCACTAGGCTATCCGACCGCCCCGTATTTGAAGTAAGCCTGACGGTATACACTGCGTCCCGCCAGATTATTCATTTATTTTTGTCTCATATTGCCGTTTATGTTTTATCACGTGCATGAGTACAAAATATTGATTTATCTATCATATACATCCTCAACTATGGACCCGTGAAGATCCGGGATACAATAGGTCTTCAGCAACCCATGCTTGTCATAAAAGGCGACTATGCTTGTCGAAAGAGGCGACTAACGGGATAGGGTGGCCAGGCTCGCCGACTTTTGGTTGATTCATGTCATCTTATCCCAATTGCGTGGATAGATGCTCATGATGTCAATCATCTGGTCCAGACTCGATTATTTACACACCGCCGTCATATAGCTGGAATATTGCTGAATGCGGCGTTAAACAACAAACAAACAAACAAACAACAATGTCGTATTAATGAGTGTAGTTAATACTGAGGCACCCTCAACGAGAGTGAATGAGTGAGTGAGTATGGTTTCACGATGTTGTTTAAATATTCCTGTAAAATCTCGGGACACCAGTAATGACCTTGTGGGGAATCGAACCTGGGCCTTAGGCGTGACGAGCGAACGTTATAACTACTAGGCAACCCCAACGCCCCTTCTACGATGGGGAGTATGGCGAGACAACCTGGAATGATACTGATAGTCCTTGGGGCTATCGAACAAATATTGAAATAAACGAAGTTATACAATGCCGATACTGTACCCTATTAGCGATGACCGCCTCCGTGGTCTTGTGGTAGAGCGTCCGCCCGGAGAGCGGAAGGTCCGGGGTTCGATCCCCGGCCGCGTCATACCAAAAGACGTTAACAGATGGTACTTGTTGTTTCCCTGTCAGGCGCTCGGCATTAAGGGACTAAAACAAGGACTGGTCGGCTCGGAGTCAGTATACTGTGTCTGAGTGGGGTATTCATGTTAAACTGCGGCATGGAATCTCAGTGAGCTAGCACTATAAATCGGCATCAGTCCGGACTAGTACAAGCAGCCACACAAACACACACACGTACATGCACGTCGCTATATAAGTGCAATAATCTTGGATGCGACGTTAAACCCCATTTCACCTCACCTCACCCCTATTAGCGATAAGGTTTCTGGCGAGACCATCACGTTACTTCGTCTTAAGCCATGTATCGAGTTAAGCCAGTTCCAGTAAACAAGTGTCCCTATGTGCTACTGTTAACAGTAACTGGGTGTTGGTATATATGTTGTAGTCAACCTGAAATGGATGAGTGAGTGGGTTTAATGCCACATTCGCGTGAATATGTTAAATGAATATGGGATGAAATCCCCAAGAAAGCAAGTCCCAGACCTTTTGCTACTTTCGAGAATTCCACGAGCACTGGTAAGGTGCTGACAAACCTAGGGTCCATTCGCGACCAACTCGTGTTATTCCGGGACAAGCCGAATAGCGACTCGTGCCCCTCTCGGGGCCATTTTTGCGACCGGGTTCCGTCTTAGCGCAAACGGGCATACCTAAAACAATTGTCAACTCGTTGCGTAATGGTTCACATATATATCCCTATAATATATATATATATTTCAGATGCAACTGAAAGCACATCGGGACATGCAGAATTATACAGTTTGATTGAACATATTTAACTGTGTCTTGGGTATATTTTTAGATGCAAGACATATGTAAAATCAAAAATTGTTTCTGAGGGATTTTTTGACGAAGAACTTGAATTCATACGCACATTCTGATTAGTTTGTCGTATTTTCGCACATAACATTCATCGATAGGGGGACGAGTCTTCCTGCAGGTTACGGAAAGGGGCGAGTGGTGACGAGTGACCTAGGGTCATGATGCGACATTGGTATTCGAACCAAACAAATGACCACAAGAAAAGACCAACTCTAAGATGTGTCTCAAATTTGTATGGAACGGTGCTCATGCAGTCCACCACTGGTTTGTCTGTTTTAGGTTCGAACATTATCAAGTGTGATTTCTCATAAAATTACGGTCGGAAATGCTAGAAAAATGCCTTTTGGCTTCATTTAATACATACGAACAATATGGCTACGTAAATAGTATATATCAAAATATGTCAAATCTACCTAATCTGGGATATGCTAACCTGACACTGAGTAGCCTAAAAGCTACTTTTATAGTGTAGTAACAAGATGATAAAGAAATATTCGTGTCTCGTCATGCATGTATGAAACGGTCCATAGCCAGAGGTTATTACCTAACACTTGTCCCAAGATGATGACCTCACATTCTCGTGCATTCACACAGGTGCAAATGTCACTTGAGTTGAGATTTGTCTCAAAATTGTTATTGTACATCATTGAGATATGCGTTGACAGGGGTAACAAATCAGATATGTACTGCATTTGCTTCAAAGCTTTGGAAAGCAATGGCAAGTTGCTGTGTTTTTTAAAAATAAAGTATTTGTTGTTCTACAGATGATTTCTTTTGCCAGCAGACTCAGCTGATGAACGTATGGGAATCTGTCCTATCCCCCAAAGGTATGATACCTGGTGCTACAAGGATGATATCTACGCTGATATCACTCTGCCGGTACCCACGTTCTATTTCAGGGCATGATGTTGTCTTTTGCCATCCCTCTGGTGTGATTCCAGCAAAGGCTGCGTTGATCAACCCTTTGACATGTATGAGTATGATGGTTTTGTTATGTCTTGCCATGAACCCTCCTTTACAGTTAGCACAGACAGGCTCAGTAGGGTTCAGCTCACAATGTCTGACAGGCATGCGTAAGACAACGTAACCGTGTTGTGCCGCCCGGACATCTTCCTTGTACTTTACTGGTTTCTTATTCAGGCTAATTTTCTCCTTGAGTTGATCTTCCGCTTCAGATGGTCTGAAGTCGACATTGCACGATGTCAGATACTCCTGCATAGTCGCCTTCAGACTCATATTGATTGGCGTGACAGTATCTTTCCCCCGGACGTTATATGATAACTGGCGTTATGAACACATCACCATTCATTTCATAATTCATTCATAATCACCAGTTTTCCTTTTCGCCTCAATAAGCCCCAGGTCAGGGGTTGCGGCGTGCAAATCAATGACACGGTTACATGGGTGCTTTTCGTCCATCTGACACATGTAGGCACTTGTAATCGGTGGAATGATTCTTATACACCCACGTGTCATCAAGGTAAATGATCTAGAGTCAGGGATGGTGAGGGTATGAAAGTGGCCTTGTAGACAGGATGGAATATTTTCCCCTGGAATCTGCGCAGTGTATCATGACGCACTGTTGACAAAACAAATGAAGCGTCTAGAATTTTCTCCAAAGGACTGTTTTTTTAATTAGATGTTTTATGAAGACCACATTATTATTAGTATAACGGAATGGCATGCGCAAAATTCTATAGTCCTTTTCAGAATTCCCTCATTGAATAAATTGAATTTGCTGTTTTCGTTCGAATTTTCTTCCTATAAAAATTGGCGCTAGGATTCCCTGTGACTGAAATACTTCACACCACAGGTGGGGAGATCGATATTTCAATACCAGCAGTCTATGAAACATCCTATATATTCTTTCAGCGGGCAAAACATTTTTCTAGTATTTCCGACTATTATTTCCGACTTAATATATGATTTATGTTTGACAGTAGATTAAATCACACACTACTCACCCAGCCGGTTATAAGGACATGTTTACGACTTGACGTATTTTCCCGTTTGAAACCGGAAAGTTTAAATTGTTTTACTTAAATTACCACTTTGGTTTATTTGCATCTGCAGCTGGTGCGTGAACATATATACATGGGAGGGAAGGTCCACCTGGTTGGGCGTGATTTAATACAGTGTGAGTTGGATTCATCGACAATACAGCGTATATCAGAGATGGATGGTCGTTTGTGTGTGAGTGAGTGACTTGGGAGTTTAACGCCACTTTGAGCTCACGATTCAAGCTAACCACCTAGACACGTACTTCCTCCACACGAGGTAGGTATGTTAAGTTCAAGTATTGACGAGGAATAATTGATTCACATTTGATCCACCATTGTTACCGAGGTTCGTATAGAACATATTCAGACAGTCGTCACATAATGGAGTACATGTACTCGGATTGTGAATGGACGTTTCCATGACTTCACGCTCTACAAAATTTATTCGGGGCTCGTTTCACGAAGCAATGGTAGCCCTACGAATGTCGTGGATCTAGACCATAACTTACTTTTATTGTCGACACTAATTTGAAATCAAAGCGTTTCTATAACAATGGTCCTGAACGGATCCACGGGTCACTGAAAATGTGACAATTCCATGAGCACTTTTACATACTTTTAGCTGTTGTCCCTTTGAAATGATGAGGTATCCTGCATAGTGTTAACGTCATGCTTAGATCTGTAAGTAAGGCGAAAACTATGGAAGCCTGTCATAGCGTTAACGTCATATTTAGATCTGTAAGTTAGGCGAAAACTATGGAAGCCTGTCATAGTGTTAACGTCATGCTTAGATCTGTAAGTTAGGCGAAAACTATGGAAGCCTGTCATAGCGTTAACGTCATACTTAGATCTGTAAGTAAGGCGAAAACTATGGAAGCCTGTCATAGTGTTAACGTCATATTTAGATCTGTAAGTAAGGCGAAAACTATGGAAGCCTGTCATAGTGTTAACGTCATACTTAGATCTGTAAGTAAGGCGAAAACTATGGAAGCCTGTCATAGTGTTAACGTCATACTTAGATCTGTAAGTAAGGCGAAAACTATGGAAGCCTGTCATAGTGTTAACGTCATACTTGGATCTGTAAGTAAGGCGAAAACTATGGAAGCCTGTCATAGTGTTAACGTCATACTTAGATCTGTAAGTAAGGCGAAAACTATGGAAGCCTGTCATAGTGTTAACGTCATACTTAGATCTGTTAGTAAGGCGAAAACTATGGAAGCCTGTCATAGTGTTAACGTCATATTTAGATCTGTAAGTTAGGCGAAAACTATGGAAGCCTGTCATAGTGTTAACGTCATACTTAGATCTGTAAGTAAGGCGAAAACTATGGAAGCCTGTCATAGTGTTAACGTCATACTTAGATCTGTAAGTAAGGCGAAAACTATGGAAGCCTGTCATAGTGTTAACGTCATATTTAGATCTGTAAGTTAGGCGAAAACTATGGAAGCCTGTCATAGTGTTAACGTCATACTTAGATCTGTAAGTTAGGCGAAAACTATGGAAGCCTGTCATAGTGTTAACGTCATACTTAGATCTGTAAGTAAGGCGAAAACTATGGAAGCCTGTCATAGTGTTAACGTCATACTTAGATCTGTAAGTTAGGCGAAAACTATGGAAGCCTGTCATAGTGTTAACGTCATATTTAGATCTGTAAGTTAGGCGAAAACTATGGAAGCCTGTCATAGTTCGTTTTGAGTCCAAATCGAACAGTACGACGCTTAATATTGCTATGGCGACCAATGGGTCTAAGAAGTTTATCATAATTGAATTTTATAATACTCCCTAGATAATCGAGGATGTTTTGAAGAGGTCGGTGTATACTGGCTACCAGTATTTTCGGTTAAACGTGGCTTATGATGTGTTGATGTATGGCGCGGTTGGGTAGCCTAGTGGTTAATGCGTTTGCTCGTAACGCCGAAGACCCGGGTCAGATTCATCACATGGTAACAATGTGTGATGCCAATTTCTGGCGTCCCAATATCGTGATTAGGCTGGATGATTAATAAAAACGGCCTAAAACCAAATGTACACACTCTAAGATGCATGGAAGTATCAGCCTATACAGAATACTGACGTTGCAGTCGTTGCCTTACACTTGTCCGCTATAGACAGTTCTTTTTATTACCAGGGTACATTATAATGAGCGCCAATATAATGACCCAAAACGTCAAAGACAAATCAGGTTTTAATAGCATGCACTGTTCCACTGCTGAGTCTTTGACATACGTCCACCCGTAAAACATGTATTAAGAACACTACCCCTTGGAACAGGATCGTACCAACTACCGCTTCTAGGGATATCGCAGAGCTTAAACCTGGGTTTTTGTTCCAGTCCAGAAACTTATAGATGTAGTGGTCATTCTGGTCATTTGTGCCCCCAGCCAAGACGTACACTGCGTTGAAAATAGCGTACAGGATGCCGTAGATGACCACGTGGTAGAAATGCAGCAGCCGCACCGGCATGGCTGTCACCAGGAGGTTGAGCACGACGTAGATGAGGTTGGCGCCGTGGGTGAAGAAGGTTATGTAATTGTAACCTTGGAAACCTACTTCATCTGGAAACAAACACAGTTCTTATTACTTGAACCCTACTTACAGAACAGCGGATTATATACGTTTTATTATTATTGATTGTTGTTTAGGGGGCACGGGTGGCCCAGTCGTCTAAGGCGATTCGCTGTGCAGAGTTGCGTCCCTTGGGCACGCCAGAAACCTATGAATGTGGGTTCGAATCCCGGTTCGCCCCGATTATGTTTCTAGGTGTGTCAGTGCCCGTGCTCGTGAGTTTCAACGAAATGGTAAACGTCTGAGACCTGCATCACTTCGGGCTTTCCTCACACATTAAGCTGACACGCCGTGATATAACTGGAATACTGTTAAAAGCGGCGTTAAACCGAACTCACTCACTCATTGATTGTTGTTTAACGACGCACTCAGTAATAATCCACCTTTAAGACGACGGTCTGTAAATAATTGTGCTTGGACCAGACAAACCAGTGATTGACATCATGGCCATCGACCCACGTCACCAGGATACGATCACACGCCATCACCAAGCCACCAAGCCTGAACGTCCGATCCATTAGGTTGCCTCTTACGACCAGCATGGGTTGGGGAGGACCTGCTCTGACCCGTTACATATGTACACAAAGGTTAAGAGATGATGAATAGTTTTGGGTATTTTGTTGTTGTGAGGATTGAGCACACGACTTCATAAAGATGTCCCCTAAATGTATAATGATCACTCACTTTTTTATATGTATGGTTACAACGTATGAAGCCTGTAATACAAGCAGCATGCTGCTAAATACGGAGTAAAACCTGGCAATGGTCTTCTCGACAAGTAGCTCTCCTGTGAGATGAGGTTGATAATAGTTCAACCATTTTCTCATTTTCGTCGTAAGAGTTGACAAAATATAGATCGGATGGTCACATTCAGTGATTGCGTGTCACCGTGACAGGAAGACGTGGATTGGTGCTCCTTTTGTCAGTCACTGTTTTCTTTTCTGACATTATTTAAAGTTCGCCGTGATATAGCTGGAACGTGTTTGCACGTGGTCCTGCGTTCAGCGCACAGGTCACAAACCAGGCGAAGTTAATCGACCTTGGTCGCGGAGAGGAGTTGGATGGGTGACGTATTCGATTCCTGAGAGTTTCTCGCGCTTCGGTCCTGCCCGACACTGGCCCCACATGTAACTTTGTTCATCCAGCAGTGAATGGGTACCCGGCAGGATGAGATGGTAACGTGACTAACCTACTATAGCATCAGATGTCTATCAATTTCGCCTCGACGTCTATGTCGCTAAAAGGCATCGGATTGAAGATTCTGACCATGCATTTTATCATTCTACTCAGTAGATTCTCTGATCAAACGCTTCTAAACTCTACCTACTTTGTGTCCATGCACCATACTCCAAGGTTATCGGGAAATATGTTGATTTGCCAAATGCCTTTGTATCTTCTTTTAGATATCTCGATTGGCTGCAACAATCTTTGATCTTATCGAAAAAAAAAAAAGTCCAAAAAGACTTGTTTTGTTTTGAAGAAAAAAATATTTTGGCTGACAGTGTTGATTAAAAAAATATATCTGATTTTGCAGTCTGTTGTAGCTGAAAAAAACTATCTGGTCACAATACAAAATGTTAGTTATATACATAATTCCGAAATAAGCTTGACAACAATTTGATCTAAATTTCAGTTGAAAAGTTTTAGGCAGACAGCCTTTATTTCTATACCGGAAGTGACATAATCCAAAAAATGGAAGTACAACTAACTAAGTTACAAAGTAAGCTAGAGACATAATACTTTCTCCTTTGAAGTTCTAACACTGCCAGCACCTGTCTACCGAAACCACATGTGACAGAATCCAAACCGGAAGAACTCAACGCTTTGTAACGAACTTCGCAAGAACCATGAGAAGTCCGTTTTAAAGTTTTTATTAAGTGAAGATTTGTTTTCCGAAACCGGAAATTATACTTTTTATCAGAAATTAAGATAGAACCAGGCGACTTTCAGATTTATGTTTTTAATGCAGAAGGACAGTATTTTCTGAAACCGGAAATTCAAACACTAATAGCTTTGTGGCAGTACGATCTACAATCATGGGACTTTCAGGTTTATAATAAGATTTTTTTCAAAACCGACAAACAATGAACTCTGCGGTTTATGATTCCAATTAAGTATACATGTTTTCTGAATGTATTTGTTTCTAGTTCCAAGTGTACTGACAGAAGGTATACGTTGACTCTCCTTAATATGAACAGACCTTATTACAGGCTGTTATTATCAGTTGCAGATAAAATTAAAAATGCAGCCTTCTGCATAATTATAACCCGGATTGTCAGAAGGGCTGTATTCCTGGCAGCAAACCTGGGTACTCTGCCAATGTCAGTTAACAGATTGAGAGGCACCAAGAACAATAGGGAGTCTAACAACTTGGTTCTTGGGATACAAGCGCGAAAAGCTATTATTATTATTATTATTATTGTTATTATTATTATTATTATTGCTGACACGCTATATTGCACGTGGTATACTCACAGTCGTGTATCAACACCCAATACAGCAGGCTGACAAGAAACGCCATGGAGTTGGAGATGTTGGCAAGTACCCACAATGCTTTGCAATACCACGGCATGGGTGCTTCCGCTCCTGAGGTGTAAAAATGTAAAGTCACTTAATGTGTCAAACATATTTACTATAGAATGTAAACATGAAATAGTAACCTGGGTTATCTACCGGAAACTAGTCTCAGTTTAAACCTACAATTGATGCGATAAATCATTCAGTGGATGTGAGAGAACACTTTGGAGATGTGGCACTGTAACACTGAGGGGAGACTTGTTGATATAGTTCCAGTACCATAAGAGGCACAGATACTCGTCCGAGCCCCGCAATTCGCTGTGCAGAGTTGCGTTCCTTAGGCGTACCAGGAGCCTAGGATCGTGGGTTCGAATACCCGCGCGCCGGTTCGCCATCCGTGGTTTGTCAGCATCATATCCGTGATCTTGGCTTCGGGGGACGATGGCACTCAATCATGTTGGTCACACAGTGTAACCACCTGGTGATCCATGTAGTAGACTCCTTCTGTCACTTTAACCGTTGTAGTAGTGTCAGTTGTTGTCGCAGTTACAACAATGTAAAACAGTAGTAGGAGTTGTGTAGTTGTAGAAATCGTAGTAGTAGTTGGATCATGGTTACTGTAGTAGAAGTAATCGTGGTACTAGTATTCATAATAATTGAAGTCGTTATAGTTGTAGTCGTCACAGTTGGAGTCGTGACATTAGTAGTGATAGTTCTAGTCGCGATAATCGTAGTAGCGTCTTCCCGAGGCAAGAGAGTTAACTGAAGTCCAACCTTGCCGAACTAGGCTGGTATTACAGAGTTCGAATTTGGCTGGACTAACGAGACTATGCATAGTCCAATCAAAATCGCGCAATGAAATCGAAATCCGGTTCATTGACTGAAATGAGGATTTCGGTCGATTGCAGGGTTTGCAAAGTAAGTGCACCGCCAACTCGTTGTCAACAGATATTTTCCCAATCTTTTTATGTTTTTAATCAAGGTGCTCACGTGATTTGATGAACTTCGCGATGTAAGATCCGTTTTATCACAATATAGACCTTGATTATCGATTAGATCATCTTGACTGTAAGCCGCCATTTTGTTTGAAGCAAAAGCAAGTGATACGAGAGGTGGAATCTGATTGGTCCATAGGAGAGGCATAGAAGGGACATAACTCGTAATAGCCACTGGTGGCGCTACGATGGAGCCCAGGAAAAGGGTGGAAACTGGACTTTTAAAGTCAGTGAACTCTCTTGCCTCGGAAAGTTGTCGCAGTCGTGGTAGTGTTGGTGATAGTAGCAGTCGTGCTAAATGTAGTCGTGATAGTTATAGGCGTGACAGTTGTAGTCGTGATAGTTGGAGTCGTGACAGTTGTAGCCGTGACAGTTGTAGCCGTGATAGTTGTAGCCGTGATAGTTGTAGTAGTGATAGTTGTAGTCGTGATAGTTGTAGCCGTGACAGTTGTAGCCGTGATAGTTGTAGTCGTGATAGTTGGAGCCGTGACAGTTGTAGCCGTAATAGTTGTAGCCACAATAGTTGTAGCCGTGATAGTTGTAGTCGTGATAGTTGTAGCCGTGACAGTTGTAGTCGTGATAGTTGTAGCCACAATAGTTGCAGTCGTGACAGTTGTAGCCGTGATAGTTGTAGCTGTGATAGTTGTAGCCGTGATAGTTGTAGTCGTGATAGTCGTGACAGTTGTAGCCGTGATAGTTGTAGCCGTGATAGTTGTAGCCACAATAGTTGTAGCCGTGATAGTTGTAGTCGTGATAGTTGTAGCCGTGATAGTTGTAGTCGTGATAGTTGTAGCCACAATAGTTGCAGTCGTGACAGTTGTAGCCGTGATAGTTGTAGCTGTGATAGTTGTAGCCGTGATAGTTGTAGCCGTGATAGTTGTAGTCGTGATAGTCGTGACAGTTGTAGCCGTGATAGTTGTAGCCACAATAGTTGTAGTCTTGACAGTTGCAGCCGTAATAGTTGTAGTCGTGACAGTTGTAGCCGTGACAGTTGTAGTCGTGACAGTTGTAGCCGTGATAGTTGTAGTCGTGATAGTTGTAGCCGTGACAGTTGTAGTCGTGATAGTTGTAGCCACAATAGTTGTAGTCGTGACAGTTGTAGCCGTGATAGTTGTAGCCGTGATAGTTGTAGCCACAATAGTTGAAGTCTTGACAGTTGCAGCCGTGATAGTTGTAGCCACAATAGTTGTAGCCACAATAGTTGTAGCCAAAATAGTTGTAGTCTTGACAGTTGTAGCCGTGATAGTTGTAGCCACAATAATTGTAGCCCACAATAGTTGTAGTCTTGACAGTTGCAGCCGTGACAGTTGCAGCCGTGATAGTTGTAGCCGTGATAGTTGTAGTCGTGATAGTCGTGACAGTTGTAGCCGTGATAGTTGTAGCCACAATAGTTGTAGCCACAATAGTTGTAGTCTTGACAGTTGCAGCCGTGATAGTTGTAGTCGTGACAGTTGTAGCCGTGACAGTTGTAGTCGTGACAGTTGTAGCCGTGATAGTTGTAGTCGTGATAGTTGTAGCCGTGACAGTTGTAGTCGTGATAGTTGTAGCCACAATAGTTGTAGTCGTGACAGTTGTAGCCGTGATAGTTGTAGCCACAATAATTGTAGCCCACAATAGTTGTAGTCGTGACAGTTGCAGCCGTGACAGATGCAGCCGTGATAGTTGTAGTCGTGACAGTTGTAGCCGTGACAGTTGTAGTCGTGATAGTTGTAGTCGTGACAGTTGTAGTCTTGACAGTTGTAGCCGTGATAGTTGTAGTCGTGACAGTTGTAGCCACAATTGTTGTAGTTGTGCCAGTTGTAGCCGTGACAGTTGTAGTCATGACGGTTGAAGCCGCGATAGTTGAAGTCTTGGCAGCTGTAGCCGTGATAGTCGTTGTCGTAGTGGAGTAAGTTGTAGTCGTGATAGTCGCAGTCCTGACAGTTGTAGTCATGTTAGTCATTGGCGGGGCGGAGTAAATGGTAGTCGCTAATCCCTCACCTCGGAGATCCTGCTTCCTGTAGATGTAGAAGTAGACGGAGAGGGCGAGGTCGGCGACGCCAGCGAGTGCGAGGACGATGTAGCTACATATTGTCAGGTACACAAGTATCTTTACCCTATTTGCTTCGTTGTCGACTGTAAACCGAGTTAAATACCCACTGAGGCCGAGGATACCGATATGGTACCCCGCCCACACCGCCCGCC